AATATCTCATGAAATATATAAATCCTTCTAACACACGATAATGTAATGTTTTTCGCATTGTTATCCTAATAAAGTGTATGTTTATCCAAAAGAGGAAACTATGGGCAAATGTCTTGTCTACTTAATTCGTTTCGTTCATAAACAAGACGCTGTGGACCCACTTGAAACATAGATCCATCTTAATTGCATAGCTTTAACTAGAGTGCTATATCTTATTGACTAATAACGTTTCGTATTCGTTTTTTATTTTCTTTTAGGGAGGCTTTTAAATTGTTTGAAACCGTAAAAGGTAAGATTTGACAAACCTAGTGTTGAAAAATCTCTTGGTTAAGATTCAATCGGCTTGGAAAATCTCCCCGTTTACATAATTGATCCAAATACGCATCTGCAGCTATAGTTTTATTTTGATCCTTTATCGTTTTGAAAAGTTTCCAGATGTCTAATGCCATCATATCGTCGGAATCGTCTAAAAACGTATACATAAGTTGGTCATATAGCAAGTAAATTTGTGTTATAAGATATGTTACAAGAACGTGCTCTGCATTTTCATCGTGCACGTTGATGACGTAAGTGTAGGCACTGAAACGTGACAGAACGAATTTCTTTTTATAAATCGTTCAGAGAGGGTTTCAATTGGGGTTAACCATTAGTCAACAAGCAGGTACAATCTAACGTCAACCACTGTGACCAGAACAGCTTCCCAATATCAACGGTTAACGTTTTCAAGGTCTTTTGGTACTCTTTAATTTATTCTTTCAAGCCGCCTTTTTAATTTCTTGTGTATTTGAAAGAAAACATTAAAATCAAGATCAATGATAGAAGAAAATTCAGACTAGGTCAAAGAAGCAGTACACTCCTACCATAGATTGATTATCTCCACTCTTTGACAAATAGTCACCAATGTGGAAATGTGAATAATGTTGGTCTCTTCATTTATTTATAGTTAATTTAAATAAGTGGCTATGAAAATTTCCTGCAGGAGTTAATTTGGGATTCTGCTCAAACAATGTGAATCTGAATGTGCTAAAAATTCAGTTATAGCAAGCACAATCTCACAGGTGAACGATAACTTCTTCATGCAATCCAACATAATCCTCAAAGATAAGGTTGCTGTCTTAAATCTCACTTTCAATTTCCAGATGTACTTTGTAATCGCGGAAATAAAAATTGTGGTTTCCAGAGCAGAAAAAATCATTTGAAGTAACTTGACTTTCTGTTTTTTTTTATCCCAATTTTGCTCTCTACCTGGGATTTCGAGAACACGGTTTTAATTACTGTTGAGTTGCAACAATTTTAACAGTCACATTTTGATCAAACCTGACAAAATCGGTGCAAATCTATGAAAAGGCATAAATCAAGTCTGGATGTAAGCGTATCTATTGATATTAAATAAATAAAAATGGAGTTCGTTACCTTTCCTTCAGAACTGCGTAAGGCGTTTCTATCGTCCGGAAGCTTGTATTACAGTCAGCTGTTATTCTTGATGATTGAAAATAAGTTGTTCTGAAATTCAAAATGTTCGACACAGAAGAAATAAGGGACGTACACGAACTGAATATTCCACTGAAGTTCTGTAGGTCAGAAAGATATCATGTTTAATCATTACACATAACATGTTGTTTCCGACATAGCGAACTTAAGTGAAATTTTTAGCACCTGTATGTCTCTTATTCCTTCTCTGTCGAACATTTTCAGGAAAAATTCCATCGAAACAATTTTAGCCAGATGCAAAACCATTCCGTACAGCAAAAAGATGTAGCGATCGGAGCGAGTTAGGTATCAAATTTTTCTTTTTAATTTCGTCTAAATTTCTCTTAATTGCACAGAGATTGTTTTCTACTAAGACAACAGAATTTCTGATCGAAATTCAATATGGGAACTTGCTCCTAATTGTTACATGATCATGTCACTTATGAAACTTAAAAAGCAGATCTTTAGAATGAACTTGCCTTGCAACCTACCATGTAAAAAAGAACTTAGATGTACGGCGATTCTAGAAGAGATGGCTTCGAGTTCCTCAATTTCGAGGAAATTTCAACATTTGATCTGAGTGAGAAATATGGCAAGATGACCTATCAAGTAGACGACCAATCGTTGAGAAGATGCTTAACTATATGACCGTGCCCAACTTAATTTGAAAATTACTTGACTAAACAGACAAGGAAATGGAACGACTTTTGAGTAAACAAAATTTGAATAATGCTTCTTTTATCTTGTTGCGTAAGGGAACATAAATTTAGGTAGGTTTTTTTATTCACCTGCGTCGTTTTAATTTGAACAGTCTGCTGGATTCGACGAAGTCAGATAAATTTGCTTGCAAACTAGTGGCAAAATTGTCTTAGGACGACAGACAATTAAGTCTATACCATTTTCCTGCAACCATGGTATTAAATTTGCTCCGTGAGTACATTTCTTTTTCTTCGTCATTAATACTTCGCCCTTAATTCAGAATCGATGTCGCGTTCGTGTAAATTATTTAAAAGAGTATATATGGTTTTATTTTTCAAAGCGGCATCTCTGACTGATGCTATCACAGCTTTCAGTTAAAACTACGCCGAGAAATGTAAATAACTTAAGTTCCTATGTTATATTCCGCTGATACTGTCTTTAAGGTCCTACATTTACCTTTATCTTATTACCAAACTATTTTTTTCTCAACTTTTAAAGGGACAGCTTTGTCAAAAACCTTTAAACTGAAGCGACACTTATGTATACCTATCAGAAAACCAGATAAACGTCTAACCGTTTAGTTTCAATTAAATTACATTTTCTTAGGATGAAAGGAGAAAGAATCGGCCTGATTTAACGTAATTTTCACTCAAAATCTGCCAATTTCTCCCACTTTTACCGCCATAAATAATAAAATATAACGACAAAGATTCGAAGGAGATTAACAATGAGAATCGAAATGGACAAGGCAGCGATATAGAAACGCATATATAAC